GCAATGTGTTGCGGGTTCAATTCACGCACGGAACAAAACTTTGTGTGATCCACAAATTGTTGTTTCGGGTCTGGGTATCATTGTGTATGTTTGTAAACGCACTCACGACACAATGAAAATCCTACTGTGGGGCAACATTTTGATAAAAAGAATAAAAAAAAATATCCTTCAGCAATATAGCAGCAGAGCAGTGTTAGAAAATTTTTGTTCTATAGCACTTGATAGAATATTATTAATAAATAGATATGGTTAAGTAACTGTCTTTTGCACTTAACAATATGAAAATAATGAAATTAATTATATTTAAGATACAAAGTACCTAAATTAGGTCACTATCAGCACCACCAATCATGTACAAGATGCAGCATTCTTCAGATATTAGTTAATGTTCTAATAATCATTTACTGTTACAAAATAAACAAGTTATATTGAATCCAATTTCAGATCAAGCATAGATAAAAGTTCAACATGGAAAAAGCTCACCAATCACCAGTTTCAAGCACTTGAGCCAAGCATGCATTGAGTAGAAAAAGTGGAAGTCCTTCATAAGCACAACAAAACACACATTCACAAAACTTTGCTAGCGATTAAAGTTTTTGAGAATCATCGAAAACCAAGTTTTATCGTGTTCATAGGCCGAGCACAAAATGATGATTGTCTTTCACAAAAAGCAAAACTTAAGAATACATCCTCTTTCGTAATTGTGCAGCTGCCGAACTTTACTAATGTAATCACTTATCACTGCACGTAAGTCTTATATCACTTCTGATACTTTTAAGTAAAACTCAATACTTGACTGGAAAGTTTATTCTAAACGGATTCTTACAAGAACACAGCGTGACGCTCGTCAAACTTCCCACCAGAATCGCGCGTTATTAGGGACACGAAAAAAGTATCGATGCTTTGTAGTATCGAGTACATTCCCATTCGATACCGATACTTTTGTACTCGATACTTTGCATTCGATACTAAAAGTATCGATAAGTATAATATCTCAATAAGTCCTTTTTCCCAGGTATTTAGTTTAACAGTGCCATCTAGCTGACTCCTTGAAAACTTTTTAATTCGATCGATTGAACTTATTCTTACCGTGTGGTCGTTCGCAGTTAAATTCCCAAAGAAGTGTACCCGAAATTATATAAATTGACACGAGAATGTATATCCAATCCTGTGTCGTCAGTACCTTCAGAACGATTATTTTCTAAAGCAGGAAGTACCATCACAAAAATCAGAATCCGCTTATCTCTATAAAGGCTCAATAAACTTCTATTTTTAAGTGATTGAATGGGGGAGAAATGGGATCTTTAATCTACTACGCGGTTGAAATTTACTGTGGGACACTACTAGTATTTAATACTACTAATATCTAAAATAACTTAATATTGTTTGTTTTTCCTACAATTTCAAAGTGTTTCATATTTTTTTATTATAGTCCTATATTTGTGTACCAATACCATTTGTTTTTATTTCCTGCCGAACTAAAGTAATACCGACATTATTTACTGACCTTTGTTCTATGCAAATTTTGATCTAAAAAAAATACTCGATACCTTGAAATATCAATTCTTTTGTTTCGATACTTTAAATGTATACGATACTTTTTTATCGATTCTACTCATAAATACAGTATCGATACTTTTGCTTCGATACCGTGTCCCTAAGCGTTATCACTCTTTGCGCGGGAAACTATTCTAATCTGTCACATTTGACAGATGACATCGACAACATGACAGCTAGAGATGTCGATAATGCAGATTTAATTCGTGACGTACTTTTAGTTGATTTTCGTCGGCTAACCATAGCGACATCTACCTAAATAAATTGAAGATATTTAGTTTCTAAAACTACTAAGAGATGGAGCGCTTATCATTTTTTGCCATAGTTCAATACTATGCATATTTTTATTTGTATAACAATTAGAGACAGAATTCTAAACACATAATTATAGCAGTAATTGTGGAATCGTATTATCATACGATTCGCCAGGGTATCCCCGGTTCTAAAGAATTTAATATGTTAGTTTCAGTTCTACCAAGCACATTCCTAGCAAAACAAGCATTTTTAAAATTTATACTTAATTTCATCCACAATCACATAAGCGGATGAATAATAACATAACAACACTCAGAGGTACATATAATACAATATAACACCCACTTTTCACCCGTAATGCTATGAGTCCCATGCAATAGGGGGATGCGTCTATTAACATAAATCTAGTCCAGTTCTAAATACCGTGAAATTACCTGACTGACAGAGCCGTGTAGCGATCCTGAGACCATTGCTCGGCAATAATTACACCTCCAACAACCAACAAAGCAGTCTAAGACTATAAAATATTATCTTATTTATACCTCTTATACTATTATATAAAGCTGGAGAGTTTTTTTGTTTGGACGCGGTAATTTCAGCAACTACTGGCCCGATTTGAAAAATATTTTTTGTGTTGGATAGCACATTTATCGAGGGACGCTATAACATCAAGCCACGATTAATAGGAGCCGAGCAAAGTGGATGAAATAGCGCGAAAGTAACTACTATAAATAAAAAGATTTCTCAAGCTTTAAGATCCTTAGAACTGTTATTGACCTAACTCGGTAATTTAGCGCCAAATGTGGGACTCAAGGAGAGAACACATTCGCTGTAAAAATAATTAACTCGTCGAGTACCGGTTTTATAGACACAATTAAAGAACAATAGGTCGCGGTCACCGGTGACCGCTTGGTGTTTGACAGATTAAAATTGTTCGATAAAAATAAAAGCGCTTTAATTTCCACAAAACTTTATTGAGTCATGGGACAGTTGAAAAATTCTTATTAATTCATTTGAGATGTTTTTTATTTATTGAAACTAAATCACCATACATTGGACGGACGAAATACAGGATTATGTGGAAGAGAAAAAAAATCCATAACTTTATTAGATATTGCTTTGTCTTTCGCAGTTTTACTTTCAAAATTCCTATCGTTTAATTCTTTTATCAATTCCCCAATAGAACTTGTATTTTTGTCATTAAACTTTCTACCATCTATCGGGACGTAGCTAGCAGATAGAGGAAAGGTTCTGCTAAAATTACGAATTATTTCATTTTTTGCTAGAGTTTTTACTGTTGTTGTAGCATCTGTTGCAAGATCAATTGATCTTTGTCTATTATCCAATGACAATTTCGTTTTATTTAATCTTACAATTGTTTGGTCTAACTTGACTTCATCACTTGATTTCGCAGTCGTGTGATATATTCTAGTTCTTGTATTCATTCTTGGTCTGTTGTGATGATGATGATGCGGATTCAATTCCTCCTGATATAATTTCAGATCAGACGTTGTCACAAACGTGTTCGTATGATTCGATGATGTAGCTTCATCCGTTTCTCTCACATTTGTCTTTAAGATCTTTCTATATATCCTTGAAACGTTACATTTATCGCATTTCCTAATAACAATATCGGTCGTGTCATCTGTAATGTTATATTTTTGCCTCAAACTTCCTTTTTGGACTTCAACAAGTTTGACAAATCCGTCGCCATTTATATCTCTTCCGCTATTACTTCTACTGAAGCAATTTACAGTTTGGTTTTTGTCGTCCGTCGGACAATCCTTCAGAGCGTTGTTTTGCTTTATTTCATCTACCTGATTCTCTAAATAATTTAATCTATCGATGATTTTAAGGCCTAATATTTCTAAGTCATTCTTGCTATCGCTTGAAGATCTCCTTGAATGTTTTCCAGATTTACTTCGTTTATCTTGATGCATTTCATCTTTAAGTCTGTTGATAAAATTTTGAACGACGTTTAGCAGTTTTTCTTCGCCTGATTGGTATTTATTAGAAAACTCTAGAACAGTTTCTAAAGCCAGATTGACATTTTTGTCTGGATCCTCAGGTTGCTGTGGCAGTGTGTTCGTATGAGCTGGAATATGAAAATTGTTATATAAAGTTTGAATAAATTATTCGTTCATTTTAATTTTATCCGCGTTGGAATTCTGGCAGTTTAAACACCATGGTTGATGGATGTAACAATTGGCCCGTTACAAACGTGTGAACTATCATAAGACATTTGTATCAGATCTCTCGCGCACATTTATGCAAGTTGTGCGGCATTGTCACAATCTCTTGACGTGACATTTTATACGTTTGTAATAGCCAACTTTAGTAGAAGATTTGCTTCCATCAGTTTTCTATCGAAGATTCAACGTAATTTTCTTGGAAGATCTACTTAAGAGAATGTGATAAAGTTAGAAGAATTTTAATTTTGACTTCACAGAATCTATATCCGTTCGCCTTTCATTCTCGTTACCAAAATGTGTTATTGTGAAATTGCAGACGTGTAGGGGATCCATTACAATCACTTCTCTATACAGATATCAAATTCAAGATTTAGATTTAAGAGTTTCGAAGCAAATGATCGAGAAATATTATGCTACACAATAAAATTGTATTAAACAAGTGATATTTGTAAGAAACTGAATGTAAAGTAAAACTTATTATAAATAAAATAAATACCGAATATGGTGACCAGCAGAACACAAGCGAACATTTTCATTTTAATATAAAAAGTACTAGCATTTTATTGTACCATAAAACTAGTTATACATTGCGCGAGCAACTATTTTTATATTTGTAATCCAATAAAATTATTACAACTATTTTATTGACAATAAACATTGGAATTGTTACTGATTTTAAACTCAATGTTAAAAGTTTCAAGAATTTCTTGTTTTGTGTTCTCTTTTATGAAAATCTAATAATTTACATTTTAAAAATGAAACCAGTCATGACTCGTGCAATTTCACATTGATTTTTGAATCAAAAAGTGTCTGTATTAACATTAAAGTTAATATAAATAAACTCAATATTTTTGTGAACTTCATCGACTACTAAGAATCCATTTTAATAAATAAAGATTATACGCAGTGTTAAATTTCTTGTGGAAATTAATCGAATTTTCAAATATGTTTCTAAGTCCAGATGACAAAACCAAGATATAAGAAGGATTCATAAACATGAAGACTACTAGGCTAATATTATTGTTAGCTTTATTCTTACACTATAGTCTAGTTAATAGTGATGACTTACACAAGCCAGGTACCATACTATTTTATATCATTCCGATTTTTAACCTATTTAATAAAGTTTCGACACATACATACTTTATTCTCAGTTACCTTTCTAATTTCCGAAGCACCGTAGTCACACGTATTGTACTGTATTACTGAGAAGTACCACACTCAAATTCAGCAACTCTGAACACTTTTTGAGGCACTAAACATTTTTCGAAAATATTCAAACGCAAAAACCTCCTTTCCAGATAACTTCAACGAGACAGAACTTATGGAAAATCACCAGGAAAGGATGAAGATGGTGAACGCCTTCTTCAGAGACCTTAAAATAGTATTAAACAAAAATAAAAAACCGTTAAGGAGTATGAAAGAAACAGAGAGAAATGACAAAGGAGTGAAAGATACAAAAATACCGATCCTTCGAGCTAGATTATTCACGCCTAAATCTATTCAGACTAAAAGTACTTTAAAACTTCATAAATTTCCAAATTACGTCAGCAAACCTTTGTTCCCGATTCCTGTACTAACTGAAAATATTTTACGTACTTCTGCCACATCTGTCTCTACACCTAAAAGTACAATTAAAATAAATTCTACAACTAAACCAAGTTCTGTTACAATAAAGCCTAAACAGGTCGGCCATGCTTCTACGTTTACATCTCCTAGTATTCCAAGAAATTTCTTTGATAAAATATTTCAAAAAGTCACATTTTCAACACATCGAGTGCCTGAACAATTCACTTTTCGTTCAGTTATCTCTCCTAGCAAACCAACTTCTAAAACTGTTACAACTAACCAAAGGTCAACATTTATTTTGACTACTTCAAAAACTAAGTCCACTCGTCCATCGACATTAGCTCCTACTAAAGTAACTTCACCAAATATTACTTTTAACAAACTAGCCGTAGTAAAATTTAATCAGATATATAATTTAAAAGAAGAGGTTGAAAGTTTTACCTCAATAAAAAGTACTTCATCATCTATGAGTACAACTCCATCCTCTATGAGTACAACTCCATCCTCTATGAGTACAACTCCATCCTCTATGAGTACAACTCCATCCTCTATGAGTACAACTCCATCCTCTATGAGTACAACTCCATCCTCTATGAGTACAACTCCATCCTCTATGAGTACAACTAGTATTGGACGAAAGACGTTCAACAATATTGCTACATTCATACCGGAACTTTCCTTTTATCAAAGATTACATCTATTTACACCTATTTCTAGAATCATCTATGAAGTCACTACAACCTCTTCTCCACCTAAAACATCTGCTTCTTTAGCTCCTTTATCAATACTTGCTATTTCATATCCTACATCTTCTCCTCTTCAGTTCAAAATTCCTCCTCTTGCATCGTGGTCTTACAAAACCACAAATAAGTTTCATAGCTTGTGGCAGCAAGAGATGACTAATTTCATGTCTTCTAATAGATGGAAGATAAAAGCAAGTGATTTTACAAGTAAGCGTTTTATTACCATTGTTAGGTATAGAACTCTGTATGTCAGTCTCTCATATAGAGCGACCGATATTTGCCAATAACCTAATAAAATAAAGGCAGTGGTGCACATTACGGCACTTACGACATAACTTATCCCTGCCAAAATCTATTCCGAACTCTAGTAATGGATGAGTAAAGTTCATAATGATGTTTAGGGAAGCTCGATATGCGGTATCAAAAAACGTTAATGCCACTGTACATTGTTACTATTCATGTAATGAGTCCTATGTAATAGGGGGTCAGCCTATTGCCATATACCGGGGCAATTTCAGATTCCATGCTACTACTGAGAATTCTTTTATACCCATTAATACCTTGCCCTTTCGGGAATCGAAACCGCGACCTCTTACCCGACAATGACTTGTAACCACTCGGCCAAATAAGGCAGTTGCAAGTAAATTAAGGTTTCCTTATTATTGGTCTACTTCAAATCCACTAACCAAAACATTGTTTCTAGCACCGCAACAGATAACACCACGATGGTACCAACACTTTGTACAAAATAAACCAATAATACACCACGGATACAACCTCACACGACGTCCTAGACTGCACAGACAGAGGCACACACAGAACAAAAAAATAAGACATAAACATATCAGAAAAGTAAAGAAGTACTACCCAATGTACCTGTCCACAAAACAACATCACTCTACAATAAAAAAAAAATACGGCCATCTCCATAAAGAGACAACTGAATTTTATAAATTTAGTACTTTTAAAACGACAATAGTTGATGGTAGACCTGTCTATCTGCCTGTAGATCCTTTACAAGGTACAACACCAGGTAAGTTTGTTACAACTAAAAGGTTCACATTAAATTGCGAGGTTTTCAATAACATAACATAAAATAACATCACGCCTTTTATCCCCGAAGGGGTAGGCAGAGGTGCACATTATACCACTGAATAATGTAACACCCACTTTTCACTATTTATGTTATGAGTCTCATGTAATAGGGGGTGAGCCTATTGCCATATACCGGGCACAATTCAAGACTCCGTGCGACTACTGAGAATATTTAAAAACATAGTAATACTTTGCCCGACCCGGGAATCGAACCCGAGACCCCTTGCCAAACAGTCGCACTTACGACCACTCGGCCAACGAGGCAGTCCAGGTTTTCAATATTATTATTATTTTCAGTTTCAATTCTCACTCCATCGACCAAGCCTCCGAATCATCGTTACTACGAGATGATGAAGGAACTGGATGAAGGATATATGATCGTATTCTTAATAGAACTTTGCAGAATAATTTCTACAAAAGATCCGAAACATGTTAAAGACGTCATTATGCATACGGAAACTATAATCAATGAGTAATTTTTAAATATAACCTCTTTGTACACTACATATCTGATATACTGATAGGCCCTGTCTGAGATTCTCATAGTGTAGAACACTCTTCAGCTACGAGTTCCCGTGCATAAGACGCGTCGCGTTGCGCGCGCGTCAAATAGTATTCAGACCACCACAAATGGGCCCCAGTAGGGCTGATGTCCGATACGGAGCCGCGCAATGCCTATCGGGTTGCCGAGGCTCCGGGTCGGGAGAAGTCAGATGATTTTTCCCCCTCAAAAAAATATCAAAAAAAGGTTGAGTTCTCCGGCCACCGTAAGCAGGGGACGGCCATCACGGGTGACCTGAACCAGACTCGAGCGTGCAGCGGGTCACGTTCCGCGTGCACCCCAAAGAGCAATCATATCACCACAAATGGGGCCCAATAGGGCTGATGCCGAAACATAACGGATTGCCGGAGCTTCGGCTCGAAGTGTAGGAGTACGAATGGGCTGGTTTTTGGTTTTATGATAATGATGATAAACATTTATGATAATGATGGCCTGGAGATTCCGCAATTCTGATAATTTTGATTAATGCGTTTGATTACTTAGCGAGTTTTGTAGACTTTGACAGTGCTAATTTTTTGCAGGCTAGAGGGAAATGGTCGGTTGGTCTGGTTAGACAGCCCGTTATTAGATGTCACTATAAAACTATCAAGACTTATATCCGAAGCACCAATCGATCTTGTAAGAAGTAAGTTAAAATACTTCTGAGTGACTAGTTCAAGCTTTTTTTATCGAAACGTCAGAATGATTGGTTGGTTAACTTGGGACCACTAATCAGAGCTAAACTTCATGAACTTGACGATAACTTAAGCGAAAAACAAACTCGCACTAATCTGTCCGGTGTTTCTGCCAGCCAGGTTTTAATCTTTGAGTGTTTTTTAAACATTGCTAGCAATTAAGCAATTGGTCCGATGGTAAGCGAACATCATAGCCTAAATACACCTGTACCACTACGCAATGGCTTTCTGCGAGAGGGTGGTACTTCCTCGGTCGAGTCGACACTTGTTTGCATAAATAGCAGCTAAGCTTTATCACCATTTTTTTCCTTTATGGGATAGGCTTGGAAACGAGTAGATGGATCACCTGGTGGTAAGAAATGGCGTCGCTCATGAACAACTGGACACCCCAAGCACTAAAGGCGTCAGAATACGTGACCGACATTTTTGGGATTAGTAATTTCAGAATTGGATATTCAGGGATTAGGAAGATAATATCACTCACGTGACAAAACACAAAACAAGTACTTCACGCCAGTTTTGTATAAGGATCTTATGTTAATGGATCCTTCCTCTCCTTCCACCAGCTTACGCAGCCATGTTGTACCACATGCTACGTGGGAGGAAGACAACACTCTCCGTCGAAGTGAATTCAATCATAGATTATGCAGAACTTATGTACGAGGATAAAGAGGGAGACTACCTGTTCAATTCCCTAAGAGAATTCGAGGCATTTCCTGAAAGTAAGTTTAATCATTAGTGAATTCATTTGCTACTTTTTAATATTCAGATTTATATTTGGTTTTCATGTTTTCAGTATCAAAATCTGGTTACTTAGTTTGCTCCACTTTAATAGAAAACTTCTTAAGTCCATTTCGTCGTCTCCACGGTACGAAACAACGACAAACATTATTAGATTCTATCAATAAAGCAATACAGGAAAAATTTCCACAAATCTCGGGAAAAACAGACAAAGAGAAGGATTTAAAGTACGGAATAAAAGGTGAGCACTTTTGAAAATAGTTCCTAAATAATCCAACAGATGGTATAAATATAAAAATGTATCTCAAATCATTTTTAGCAAAAGAGACGCAGCATTGGCCAAAATTCCGAACGATCTTAACGTCAGACGAATCATGTATATCAACTTCAGACTCAGATAGCGAAATAAGGAGAAAAATTCGTAGAAAACGTAAACAGCGAAGAATTCGAGTACACAACTTAAGAAAAGAGGCAAGAAACCGAAAAAGAAACAAGTTAAATAGACGACAAATGAAGAATAATGATAAAAAATACTTAAAGTTTAGAAGTATAGAGGCTATTACAAAAACGCAGAGACGTTACAAAATAGTATCTTCGAAATATCACTTGAAACCAACTCGTGAGAGAACTACAAAATCTTACACATTGAATCTAAATCGTAGGCCAACTAAAGATAAATCTGTAACAATCGCACCACCGTATGTAAATACACCATTCCCTTACTTTCACGAACAAAAAGACTATTTTGATACAAAAGAAAATAAAGTCCATCAAAGAGCTGACAAAAAGCGACGACAGCGTCGCCCTAAGCAAACGATTGATTTAAAAAAATTACAAGATTATTACTATCCTTTTGACGAGTATTTTAGACAATCGGAGCCTAAGCCTGTAAAAGGTGTTGGTAAAATTACTAATACACATTTAAAGAGAATTGTAGAAGCTTCAAGTTATAGTGACGAGGAAGAATCTTTGAAAAAGAATTTAATTGAAGCTCTATTTTATAATGCGACGGCTACTACTAAAATTACGAAATCATTTCTTTGACCATTATTTACTGTACAGATATTGATTAGACTCAACTTTTCAGTGAATATTCTTATACACTTTAGATCATCATAATTATTATAATAATTACATTATGGATATAGGTCTGGTATCCAACTGTTTATTTAGGTATGTTGAGAATTTCGACAATTCGATTTACAAAAAATATGAACTTTGTATTTAATAAAACGTGTTTTTATTACTCTTCATATGTTTTATTTTAGTATGGTCTTAATTGTATTCTCTAATTATTTGAAAGTCGTCTATTTACAGCGCCATCTGATATATAATTCCAGAATTGAACACAAGTATGAGTGTGTGGCATCTGTTTGTATTATACAAATCATCATACATAAACCCAACGTAATTAGGAGTGATATGAAAAATAAATTGATATCGAAAAAAATAATAAAGGTATTACATTAAAAATGCAAAAAAAAAACAAAAAATCTAAAAATTAAATTCTACTAAGTTGGTAGAAAACGTTTGATAGTTTTAGTACAATTATATCTCTAAAGCTGACAACCCCCAGTTGGTATTTTTTTGACACGCCTTGAGATACCTCTCCGATTTTATTTTCGTAAAATCATTTAATTTTGTGTGTTATTCGATAAAAACTTTGTGAAATATTGTTTATTACGAACTGGTAAACAATCTTGTTTGTGTTTTGTGTGCATAAAAGTGCTATAAAGCTGTTAACGATCAGGTAAAAGTATTTATACTATGTTGTCAATATATTAGGCTACCAAATATAATATCCCATTTATTATTTACCGTTCCTCAATGATCTATACTCCTAAATTCCCTCGTATTATCGATTTGTATTTGTAATTATAACTTTTAATACCCTAAAAACCTATTAAACAAAGAAAACAACGGACTACTCAATCAAAATTGTATCGATTTCAATTTTCTGACTCACAATCTTGAGAAAAAGTAAGTAAAACACGGTAAATGCATTGTTAAACAGTGACTCATTCACTGTTACTTGAAAATTATAAGTATGTGCTTATGAACGAGTGCTTTTGTAACGTATTTCTCAGTAATTTACTACAAGATAGATTCGACACGCATTCCTATTGTTGCTACAGTTTTATTTTCTAAACTATGACGTTCTAGCTCAAATAAAAAAAACTTTTGTTTATAGTTACAAGAAAGGAGGTGATACTAAGTGGTTAGTCTATGAATTTTGATTCACTTATTGTTTTTAATTTTTTTCATTGTTATATTGATATTAAAGATAATTTTTTTTTGGATTTTATAGGTAATATTAAATTTAAATTTTTGGGGAGAAATTCGAGGGAGTGTTCGGATTCCTGCCTTCTGGGTAAAACTACTGCAGTAGTGACTACCAGCACTTGTAAAGGGACACTGGGTCCTCCAAAAATGTCAATTTCCAACTAAACAATACCTAGTTGACACATACATAGGGTTTAACTCGTCGAGTACCATATTTATAGACACAATTAAAGAACAATAGGTTGCGGTCACCGGTGACCGCTTGGTGTTTGACAGTTTAAGACTCATCCTTAATGCATAGAGATTACATTTTTTGTAAAGAGCTAACAGTGAAACAGCGAATTTATTTTTGCAAATAATAATCATTTATTGCAGACCATGTCCATATTCTTGTTAGTAACATTGAACTTAAAAACTAATGTTAGTACACATTATATATATTGAGGGGTAACGGGCTATTTGGTTTAAGCAACATTTTGGGCGAATTTGAGTTATTATATATATTCGACGGAGAAAAATTAGCTGATTCCGAATATATATATAACTCAACATCTACCAAAATGTCGCTTAAACCAAATAGCCCGTTACCCCTCGATATGATTTAATAGGTAATATACAATTTACAAAAATAGAGACAGACAGGACAACACAAAATCATGCCTAATTATAATATTTAATTTAATTTAAGTAAAATGTCAATATTACTATAATTACGGCGCAAGTCCCGCGGAGAGTCGACAACATCTATTTACTTACATCTAAATAGGTAGGCTAGTTTTTTTTGTGAACTATTTTTATAGTTAAAAACATTTAAATGAGGCTGATATTATCTAACTTACTATTGTGAGGAGAAGTACCAAAACAATTAGAGGTTTTATGTACAAAGATAAAGATTTGTTTGTAAACTCTGTTTGAATGACATTTTGGGGATAAAAAGGCATGATGTGATGTTATGTTTGAATGATTAGAAGTCAAAGGTTTATTTTTATAACACACTAGCTACTTCCGTGCGGTTTCACACGCTCTGTTCAGCTCCTATTAGTCGTAGAGTGATGTTTTATAGCCTATAGCCATCCTCGATAAATGCGCTATTCAACACAAAAAGAATTATTCAAATCAGACTTGTACTTACGGAGATTAGTGTGTTCAAACAAACAAACAAACAAAAAACAAACCTACTAACTATTCAACCAAAGCTTTAATAATAAGATTATGGCTGAAATTACTTTTTGAAATTGCTACTCTTGAGTTTTAGTCAAAAATCAAGATAAATTCCGAGCTTCTCAACTAAAAGCACTGTTACACATACTCTAAAACACCATGCTAAAAGACTTTCTATTGAGCATGTTCAAAAATGTTCAAAAATCGAAAGCCTGTCGATTCGCAAGCATGCCTGAAATGAGCATGCTAATTTTGATCAACATGCCACACACATGCTACTAAGTGACTAGTGCTCGATTAAAACATTCTTATGTGCTTGAAACTGTAATGTGTTACTGTAACTTAAGTTCAATGAATAAAATTAGTAGAGCTTTTCTCAGTAAATTCATGTGAGTAACCCACGATTTTAGTTAATCTACACTGTTAGTTTTTATAATGTTACATATTAATTCTCCACGGGCTCATGGTCCGTGCCCTTGTCATACAATTTTTATTACAATATCGTCTAATCAATTTTTATAAAGTATAGTAGAAACCTAGTAACCTAGTACACTACAATTTATTATTAACCACATGTATAATTATTACTAAAAGTATAATTCACATAATAATTAGCTATTATCTATTTATATCTATTTCGACGGCTCTACGAAATCAGCCCACCAACTAGATGGGAGAGCCGACCTGACCCAGTGTGTCAGCTATTGGTCTGGTTAACCTTTTTATTGGGAACGGGACAACCCAACACACAGCGCCGCCTACTGTAGGACATTTATGTGTGCATGACCCCTCAACCCTTGCTACATTGGCCGATTCCAATAAAGCTTACAATAGTCCAAAAGGACTTTAGACACTAAGTATTAGTGTTGTATTTGACAAAGTTAAATCATAAATATTGATATTAAATGAAGCTATTGTTTCATTAACAATTGAATGTAGATAGCACCCAGCAGCTGACCCATTTGGTTCTATCAATCATTTATTGTTTGTCGTTTATAATACAATATCGCAACTATACCATGCTTAAACTGTCAAACACCAAGCGGTCACCGGTGACCGCGACCTATTGTTCTTTAATTGTGTCTATAAAACCGGTACTCGACGAGTTAATACTGTTGAACTTCACATATACAATGCAACACCAACTTTGCACTATTTATGTTATGAGTCCCATGTAATAGGGGGTGAGTCTGTTGGTATATTTTACTATATTTAGCCTGAACTTCGAAACAGACTGATTCTTGAGTTTGTATATGTGTTTTTTCTCAGAGTTGTTAGTAAAGAAATTGACTAGAAATAGACTAGTTGACATAACCCATTATATTCCCAAGCAGTCACCGGTGACCGCTCTCCACTAACTAGATTGTAGACCTTATTTCCAATGCTTAGAGACTACTTTTGTGTTACAATAATGTAGTTAGAGTAGTAGACTGCACGGTTGATGCGGTGGCTGGGCAACCGGCTGCCGTGCAACGTGTCGCGGGTTCGATTCCCGCACGGAACAACACTTTATGTGATCCACAAATTGTTGTTTCGGGTCTGGGTGTCATTGTGTATGTGAACTTGTATGTTTGTAAACGCACCCACGACACAGGAGAAAATCCTGACGAGGCAACGGTTATTTAAAAAAAAAAGCGTTAGTGGAGCAATAAAATAACTATTATTAGTAGTGATAGGTTACCCACCCACTGATAGGTTAGAAGTCGGCGCCTAAGCGCCATAACTACCTTCATTTTCATAATAAAAACAAATCATACAACATTTATCTAACGACCACCTTGTTTCCTAAATTCCAGCAGCAATGGCAACGATGACGGACCAGTACGGTACGACAGGGACCCTCACCCTGAAGTGGGACCCCCGTAACCTTGAGATACGGACCATGTCTGTGGAACGGACTCTTGAACCGCTCGTCTTGCAGGTCACTACGCTAGTGAATAGCAAGGATCGGGATGCCAAGAAGAAGAGGCGTAAGTTTTTATTATCTTTATTATTTTTAGTTGTCAGTGACCGCCTCGTTGGCTGAATGGTCTTAAGTGCGACTGCCGGGCAGACAGTTTCACTATTATGTTATGAGTCCCATGTAATAGAGGGTGAGCCTATTACCATATACCGGGCACGATTCCAGACTCTGTGCTACTACTGAGAACTTTAAAAAACCCAGTAATACTTTGCCCGAACCTGGAATCGAACCCGAGACCCCTTGCCCGACAATCGCACTTGCGACCACTCGGCCAACTGGGCAGTAGGTGTAACAAAACACTTTTCTGAAAACCGCAACAGAATTGCTTGCTTCAGCCAAATGCGAGATATTCGCGCACATACACATTACACATATATAAATAATTTTTGTAGTCGGTAAAAATTAATTACTGCCTTGATGGCCGTGTGGTCGCAAGTGCGACTGCCGGGCAAGGGGTCCTGGGTCGGGAGAAGTATTTTACGGGTTTAAAAAAAAATCTCAGTAGTAGCACGGAGTCTGGAAATGTACCCGGTATATGGCAATAAGCTCACCCCCTATTACATGGGACGCATAACATAAAATAGTGAAAAGTGGGTGTTACTTCTGTGTGCACCTCTGCTTAACCCTTCGGGGATAAAAGGCGTGATGTTGTGTGTTGTGTATAATTTAATTAATTGCTTTAACCATGTCATTGCTTTATTAACCATAATAGGATAGTGTCCAGGGTATCAAAATTAAAAATCTAATTAGTCCGTAAGTGAGATAATTAAAAAATATTAGGCACGTTTTTTTTTATTTTCTCGTATTAAGTTGCAATACTTGGATAAAATGGCGCTAAGTTTAGGAGTGGGAGGTCGTTACGTCACAACGTGCTACAAAATGTGACATGCTGTGACGTCACACGATATTTCAAATTAATATGCCGTCGAAAGTATTTAATTTTGTGAGAAAAGAAAAAATACGTGTCTAAAGTTTTAAATTAATGTACCAGACGGACATTTAACTAAAATTTAAGAAACTACCTTATTCTATATTTGTTGATAATAAATTACACTTTGTCCCTCACAGCTGGTAAATCCAAGCGGGCCAGCGCTTTAGTGGCGACCGTGGAACGAGCGACGGAAATCTTCATTGAGCGCGGACAGAACATCGCGTACGAGAATCCGGAGATCACACAGCAGATGTTGACCGCTGTCGAGGAGGTCCGGAAGGCTGGTATGTGTTTAAACTGTTGAACACCGCGAGGACACCGGTGACCGCAACCTATTGTTCTTTAATTGTGTCTATAATGACGGTACTCAAAAGGTTTTGATATTCAAAACTTTGCCCTGCTGTAGGACGAAGAAGACTGAAAAAAAAGTAAAACTTGCTATTACATGGATTGGCAGCAATAATGTTTATATGTATATAAGACTCTTTCAGTCTGATTTTTATAAAGAAAATAAACTTGCGTTGCTCTGTAATCAAAGATTTATTCTTAAAAACATGAACACATTAAATAAACTAAATTACAACTTTATCTTATTGCCTATTTACCTGTAATCAAAGAAACGACTTTTAAAGTTTATTCCTTTACAGTTTTAACTTCAATTCTATTATATTACAATTAACAATTTCTTTTCTAAATATTAGCACATTGTACTTTTCTGTAAACCATTACACATCAAAATTCTTATTTTTTTAATTACCAGAGATTATAGAGTTTACAGATAAAATATGGCATAGACTATATAAAACTAAAGAAATAGTATGATTTTTCTTTACATCTCCCCCCCTCAGGAAGAAAATTTTCCACGGGCAAATTTTCTTTTAAGACAACCCAATTCCTTCTTCTTCACTGCTTGATTCTTCCTGTTTCATTGGTATTGGAATAAGTTTTGTGATATGGAAAAGGTTCGATTCCATTTTCTTGTGTCCTACGTCAATTCTATAAATTGATTTTGAAACCTGTTCAATGATTCGGAAAGGTCCAATTTTCAGTTCTTCTAATTTTTTCCTATTGAGCTTATTTCCGTTTTCCACATACACCATATCTCCAACGTTGAATTCATGGCATTTTCTATTTTTGTCGAATATTGTCTTGTTGTAGTTATGTGATTTTATTGTATTCTTAAGTGCTATTGTTCTGTCTCTGACCCAGTCAACATGTGTATTTTCTTTCTTTAATTCCTTTGGTAAAACTGTGACATCTGTACCATATAAAAGATAACTTGGTGAAAAACCAGTTACTGAATGAGTAGTTTGGTTATATTTACTCACACACTCATGCGCTATTGTTGTCCAGGCTCTTTTATTTCCATCTTCATTAATTTTGCATCTGATTTTGTTGACTAGTGTTTGATTTAATCTCTCATTTAGACCATTTGAAAAAGGTGAGTTCACTGCAGTAAATACCATAGTAATGTGATTGTCTTTTAGGAATGTCTTGAATTCTTTCGAATTTATACCTGGATATTGATCTGTGAGCAGCATTCCTATGTTTTCTGTTTCTGATACATTGTTGACTAGTTTAATAAAGTCATTTGCATTCTGAGTTTTTGAAGTTAGTATAAATGCGTGTCTAGTGAAGTGATCTACTAACAAGTGCAAGTATTTTTTTGTAGATCTTGAACCACCAAAACCCCCTATTGTATCTATTGATATTATTTCAAATGGTTTTGTGGCTGGCCCCAGATGAGACATATATCCAAATTTATCTGTCCTCTTGATTTATTTTTTATACAAATGTCACACTCGCTACATATTTTTTTAATGTTTTTCGTTAAATTTCTTGCTGTATATAGAGGACTAATTGTCTTTTGTAATTGTTTTTCCAATATGACAGAGGTAGTCATGTATGTTTTTCAAAAGTTTGATACTGAATTCTTCTGACAAAATTATTTTTTCTCTGTTTTTAACCTTCTTGTAATATATATCTTGTTTATTCATCATTCTTTCTTTATTCTTTTGTATTTCTTCATTTTTTTCCTGGTCTATTAAAATTTCTTCCAGATTTACCAAGTTTACAATCTTCAATTGTTCATTTGTATTTTCATTTGATTCCATAACAGGGTTTCTACTCAGGCAATCCGCTTCCAAATTTTCCTTTCCTGGAGCATATCTAATAACAAAGTTATATTGGGACAAATAGTATGTCAAGTCACCTAGCTCTTCGTCCGGTCTTGATTTCAAATTCATGTTTTCTAATGGCTTATGATCCGAATAAACTGTGAATGATTTGCCTATCAACCAGTACTGCCAATATCGCACAGCTTCTTTTATGGCTAGGCACTCCAAGTATATTGCTTTTTTTTTCTTTTGAGATCCATTAAGCTTTTTAGAAAAATAGGCCACTGGTTTTTCTTTTCCATCAGGCTGAGTTTGTTTAAAATGGCTCCAACACCCTCTATAGATGCATCTGTGTATATATTAATAGGTAGATCTTTATCAAAAATTGCAAGCACAGGTTGTGAGCATAGGAGAGTTTTTATTTTCTCAAATGCTTTTTGGCATTGGTCTGACCAGATAAATGGTTGATTTTTCCTTAATAAATTATGTAGCGGATCTAATATTATTGCACTCCTTGGTATGTATTCATTATAAAAGTTTATTTTTCCTAGAAACTGTCTTACATTCTTCTGCGTTTTTGGGGTAGGAAAATTCCTTATAGAAATCAGATTATCTTTAACTGGTTTAGAATTATTCTGAATTATGTGACCCAGGTATTTCACAGAGTCTGATGCAAATGTGCACTTTTTAAATTTTAATCTGAATCCTTCAGCTTTGATTGCTTCCAATAGTTGTGTTAGGTGAAGAATATGTTGGTCAAATGATTGACTGAATATTAAAATATCATCTATGAAATTTACAGCAAAATCTGTAAGTTTATTCTTTCTTAGTATGTTACTTAATATCCGTTGGAAAATAGCCGGTGCAGTTTTCAATCCGAATGGCAGACAAGTCCATTGGAAATGACCATCCTGTGTGACAAATCCTGTTTTTTTTCTGTCTTCTATTCGTAGGGGAATAGACCAGAATGCAGAATTTATATCCAAGGTTGAATAAAAATTGCAATTTCTTGTTTTAGTCATTAAGTCTTCTATTAAAGGAAATGGTTGAGCTTCTGGCACTACTATTTTATTCAAATCCCTGAAATCTATGCATAACCTGGATTTCTTGTTTTCTTCTTTTTTAAACGCCAGTGTCACCGGAGCGGAAACGGGCTGTATGACTCTTCAATAAGTTTATTATCTAAAAGTTTTCCGATTTGTTCCTCTATTTCTTTTTTATCTATAGTACACCTATAAGGCCTTTTACTGCAATATTTGTCTACTAATAAGTCTATTCTAGCTTCGTATCCTTTAACGGTCCCCACATCATATTTATTCTTAGCAAAAACTGAACTGAATTTATTAATGAGTTTATCTATTTTTGACTTCTGGTGGCCATTTAAATGATTAGTTTTTATATCGAATTGATCTTCTTGTACATGTTCATTAAAATTAATTCTGTATTCTTTCATATTTTTATTATCTATTCTTTCTTCTTTAGCCTTTGCTATTACATTCATAGGAATTTCATCTACTTCCTTTATTTTCCTTTCTTCTGTGCTTGATTTTACATTTGAAACAATTTCTTTTGTTGTCTCTGTATCCAAATTTAATTTTTGGGTGATTTGTAAATCTTCATTTTGAATTAACCTGAACTTTTTAATCATGTCTAATCCAATCAAGAAATCGTATTTGAAATTCTGTTCATCTATAATATAAACTTCAACCTCCTCTTCTATATCAAATATTTTTATTTTTAAGTTTGTCAAACCACTCGCCTTTTTGACACCATTAATTGTAACCAAACTTGCTTCATTCAAAATGTTTCTTTTTCCTTTTAATTTTAGTAGCTTCGAATTTATCAGTGAAACATTTGATCCAGAATCATAAACTCCATAAATTCCTAATGTATCATTTAATAGAAGTTTAATGTTTATTAATGGTGTCATTATTAGTTTTTTTTTCAGTTTCATGCAATTCGGCTTCTATAACAGAATTGTTTACATGTTTAATGTTTTTTTCTTTCAGTTTCTCTTCTTCTTTAGTTTTAAACCAACAGGCAGACTCTGAATGGTAGCGAATTCCTTTGTTTAATTTTTCACAAGTTTTACACGGGTTCTTCTCCTCATTCCTATTATTATTGTTTCCTCTTAAATTTCCTGAATATTTTCTGTAATTTGAATAACTTCTTTTGCTTACCAAATGTTCCAGTTTTCTGACTTCATTAAAAAGATCCACTGTATCTTTCAATGTCTCTCTGTCAATCCTGTTTAGAACATGTTCCGGTAGACCCACCGCAATTAAATCTATTAGCGTACCAGTATCAATTGAATTTCTCATTTCTAATAACAGTTTCTCTTTTTTAATGGCATAATCCACCAACAAACCATCTTTGTATTTGAACCATAAAGCATAACTAATGTGGTTCCACCCTCTATTTGTAAATGTTTCGCAAAATCTGTTTTTCCATGTGTTCCATTCTGAATCTATAGTGAATTTTATAATCATTGAATTATACCAATCTATACAGCACTTATCCATAAACAATCTGAGTGCCTCGATTTTTTTTTCATCTTCAGTTACACCGAAACGTGTGCATTCTTTGTCGAATGTGTCAATCCACCGACTTGCGTTAGGATTTCTGCTAGTAAACTTTTCAATCACAAACTTCTCAGTGATTTTTTTAAGGTTTTGTTGTTTAGATTCCTGTGTGTTGAACTAATTTTTCAAATAACTTTTCCAATACACTTGTTTCCGTATCCTGTGTAGCTGCACCTGTGTTTACTTGTGTTTCCTCTAAATACTGTTCTTCAAATTGCAGGTTTTCCTCCTCATCCAAGTAGGTTTTTCTTAAGTCTCCTACCATGGATATCCAGACTTTTCGTGTCTGGTATCTTTTCTTCAAGCTGTTTTTCACTTTATTGAAGACTGCAGTTTTAATCAGTTCCTTGTGATGAGTAACGGGTTTAAACTCCTCTGGTATGGTATACACTTTTCCTTCAACTGTCGTTATTGAGGTTAGACAACAGATATTCGATTTTACATCGCTCCCGGGTAGTATGGTGAATTCGAAACAAAGCTTATCCATCTTCATTGTTCGTTTATTTCGTTATAAACAAAAAAGTCGTTTTATAAGACTCTTTCAGTCTGATTTTTATAAAGAAAATAAACTTGCGTTGCTCTGTAATCAAAGATTTATTCTTAAAAACATGAACACATTAAATAAACTAAATTACAACTTTATCTTATTGCCTATTTACCTGTAATCAAAGAAACGACTTTTAAAGTTTATTCCTTTACAGTTTTAACTTCAATTCTATTATATTACAATTAACAATTTCTTTTCTAAATATTAGCACATTGTACTTTTCTGTAAACCATTACACATCAAAATTCTTATTTTTTTAATTACCAGAGATTATAGAGTTTACAGATAAAATATGGCATAGACTATATAAAACTAAAGAAATAGTATGATTTTTCTTTACATGTATAAAGAGGAGTTGAAGGAGGAAGGGTATTTTAAAGTGTGGGAGAGCCATGCTTCGGCACGAATGGGCCGGCTCGACTCATGGATGAGAAGCGGGCGCCTTAAACCTCCGGGCCTTCCAAAATGTCGATTCGAGTGGAGAAGAACGAGCAAGAAACTCCATTCGTTGCTCTTTTAAAAAAAAAGTCTGTTTTACATTGCTCGAGTATTGCTAGAGTGTCGTAATAATTATTCTATTTCATATACAGGAGCAGCGATGAGCCTCGCCGCCCGAGAGTTTTCAGAAGAGCCGTGTGCGTCCCAAGTACGCGGCGGAATGGTACGAGCCGCTCGAGCGTTGCTATGCGCAGTCACCCGACTGCTAATATTAGCTGATATGGTGGACGTACATTTACTACTGAACAAGCTTAATACTGTGAGTCTAATAATCAATATAGACAAAAATTAATACAATATAACATAACGTCTTTTATCCCCGAAGGGGTAGGCGCACATTACGGCACTTGCCACTGTACAATGTAACACTCACTTTTCACTATTTATGTTATGAGTCCCATGTAATAGGGGGTGAGCCTATTGCCATATACCGGGCACAATTCTAGGCTCCGTGCTACTACCCTTCAGGAAATACAGACTCTGGCAAAGAATTCCACTCCTTAGCAGTATGTACATAGATGATTTGATCTGATGACCATAGTATGTACCTATGGGCCTTCTCTACATTAGACTTTCGACGCTTAACGAAACGAAACTTCGTCGGGTATGTGACACCCACCCGAAGAGTAACGATGGTGAAAAAAAATATCTAACATCAATTTTTACCCTGAAATTTCCTATCCAACAGGTGGAAAACGACTTGGACAAGCTGAAATCGGCGTCATCTCAATCTGAGCTCTTGGAATCAGCTCGCCAGTTCGGTCGATCAGCGTCTGAGCTCGCCGCGCAGGCTGCTAAGCGTCAACGCGAGCTGAAGGAGCCGCGGATGAAGGACGAGCTCGCCGCCGCGAGGGCGGTGCTGAAGAAACATTCTACTATGTTGCTTACCGCTTCTAAGGTTTGTTAAATCTATACATTTATATATATACTAGCGGACCCAACAGACGTTGTCCTGCATATCCACTTGAATGTATAAACAAAAATTCATTCAAATTAGTTCAGCTGTTTAAGATAAATAACCTAAAAATCGACTGCAGCGCCATCTGCCGGGCTGATTTGTGAATCTAAACCATTCCCAGATCCCCTTGAACACACATAAAAAATTTTATCAAAATCGGTCCAGTCGTTTTAGAGAAGTTCAGTGACATGGCCAAACGCCATTTTAGCGCTTGTTTACAGAGAGAGTAGAAAACTATAGGGATGACACTGACAGGTGTCAAAATTTACGTCAATTCCATATAATATGATTTTGTATTCTACATGTAGACAAGCGCTAAATGGCCCGCTTACGGTGGCCGGAGATCGTCCCGCGATCCCCGACGCCTGGTGTATCCTTGCTGTAATCCCCCCCCCCCCAGGTGTACGTGCGGCACCCGGAGCTGGCGGCGGCGAAGGCCAACCGCGACTACGTGCTGCGCGCCGTCTGCAGCGCCGTCGACAGCATCTCCGCCGTCGCCAAGGGACAACCCATCCCTGTCGTCGGTCAGTATATCATATTTTTTTGCTGCATAAGCCGGCAAACGAGCAGACAGATCACCTGATGGTATGTATACGCGTGTACCTATGGACACCTGGAACACCAGAGGCGTTATAAGTGCGTTACCAGCCTTTTGGGGATTAGGAGTTTGAGGACAGGGATTCAGGGATTGGGGAAGGGGAGGGGATAATTGGGCCTCCGGTAACCTGACTTACACGACGAAACACAACGCTGTGGTTGCTTCACGTCGGTTTTCTGCTCGTTGGTGGTATCCCTCCGGTCGATTCGGCCCATTCGTGCCGAAGCATGGCTCTCCCACACTTGATATACACCATATACTTAATACTGTGTAACACAATATACAACATGAAATCTATTACTTTCCCGTCCGTATTTGCCGGTAAATTCAGCCGGCCGAGTGGTTGCAAGTGCAACTGCCCGGCAAATGGTCTCGGGTTCGATGCCAGGTTCGGACAAAGTATTACTGGATTTAAAAAAAATTTAAGAAATTCTCAGTATAAGCACGGAGTCTGGAATTGTGCTCGGTATATGGCAATAGGCTCACCCTCTATTACATGGGACTCGTAACATAAATAGTGAAAATTGGGTGTTACATTGTACAGTGGTATTAAGTGCCGTAATGTGCACCTCTGCCTTTCCCTTCGGAGATATCTAGTAATGATATAAAAGCCATGTATAGCTGTTGTTTCTGCCTGTATAAATAAATAAAATATAATTATTGTTTTCCTTCCAGGTGGTAACCGGCCCGTGGAAGGTCCAGGTGAACTGGCTCAAGCGCTCGATGATTTCGATGTAAGTCATTATTACAATACTTTTATTACTTTGTCCATTAAAAAATGACACTTTGTGTGATCCACAGATTGTTGTTTCGGGTCTGGGTGTCATGTGTATGTGAACTTGTATGTTTGTAAACGCACCCACGACACAGGAGATAATCCTTTTTTTTTATTTACCAATCTACAAGACTACAAACAAATTTATGTTTTTGATGGGATTTTATATACACTTGAAACTTATTCCTACCTGTTCTGATTGTAATGTATCTGTCTCCAGGAGCGTATGGTGATGGAGCCGCTAGCGTACTCGGAGCTCCGCACTCGTCCGTCCCTGGAGGAACGACTCGAGTCCATCATATCCGGGGCTGCACTCATGGCCGACAGCTCGTGTACTAGGTAATCTTGTCTATCTTTATATATATGTAATAGGTTGGTTATTGAAACAATCTACTTATGTTGTTACTCTGTAAAAGAAAGTTTATTCATAAATACAACATAACCAATGAAATGGTTTGCAAATACACACCTCACTTACGTAATTAGTATTAGATAAACATTATGGTCCACTATCCTGTAAAAGAAGCAACATTAAGAGCTATTGCTTCAAACAATCCTTTGTATACTTATTCTAAAAATAATTTCCACAAATATCTTTCGCGCTTATTCTAAAATCTCGAGATGAAACAAAACCATTGTCAAACAAAAAAAGCTGTCACCACAGATTATACTGTCGTATAAAGTCCAAACCAAAATACGCGGGAAATTTAAATTAAATGAAGGGCTAACTTAGCTTCTTCATTTACATATATAATTCTGCTGTACGTGTGTATGTCATTGAACTCCTCCTAAACGGCTTGACCGATTTCAATGAATTTTTCTGTATGCGTTTGAGTGGCGCCCTAGATGGTTTAGATTCACAAATCAGTCCGGCAGATGGCGCTGGAGTCGATGTCCAGGTTATTTAAAACTTAATATCTTGAAATATCGTAATAATATGCAGGACAACGTCTGTCGTTTCCGCTAGTTTATTATAAAAAGCTGAAGAGTTTATTTGGTCGCAAAGTAAATATCTGAAAGTACATATTCGATTCGATTTTAATGGGTCGACGTGCTCCATCGTAAACCGCATCATCGCTTACCATCAGGCGAGATAGTGGGCAAAAGTCGCCCCATCAAATACAAAAAAAAATCTTAGCATGCCACTGAGCTCTGTCTTCAGCTCCTCTCACCCAACCATAGTCACCTTGCGGATGTCGTCACTCCACCTAGCTGGAGGGCGCCCTACACTAAGTTTGGAACGGGGTGGTTTTTAGTCAGTAAGAGTCTGACAATCCCTCCCGCCTCACTCAGGCGGGAGCAGACATACGATGATTTCCCCCCCTTAAAAAAAATCTATATTTTTATAAATATTACTTTTTTTTTGTAATAAGTATTTAAAAATGTATTTTTGAGTATTAATTTTTGTTATGTTTCCTCCAGGGACGAGCGTCGCGAGCGCATCGTAGCGGAGTGTAACGCGGTGCGACAGGCCTTGCAGGATCTACTGCACGAGTATATGGCTAATGTAAGTATAAACAATATTATTTATTTTATGTTTGTCTGTTGTGGTAGATAAATTCATCATTATCAACAGCCTATATAGCCCAGCATGACACAACACTTTGTGTGATCCACAAATTGTTGTTCCGAGTCTGTGTGTGATGTGTATGTGAACTTGTATGTTTGTAAACGCACCCACGACACAGGAGATAATCCTAGTGTGGGGCATTGTTTTTAATATAGAAAACAGAACCGAAAGACTTAACGGTTTTATTCTAGAGGACTGTCGGACAAGGGGTCTCGGGTTCGATTTCCGGGTCGGGCAAAGAATTACTGTTTTTTTTTAGTTATCAGTAGTAACACGGAATTTGAAATTGTGCCCGGTACCTATATGGTAATAGGCTCACCCCCTATTACATGGGACTCGTAACATAAATAGTGAAAAGTGGATTGTACAGTGCCATGACGTGCACCTCTGCCTACCCCTTCGGGGATACAAACGTGTGATGTTATGTTTTTTTTCTTTTCATAGTATTTTCAAAAAGGATTACTTTAATTTTATAAGTATAGCAGTTTGTTTAATCCACGATTTGATGGATGTCCACAGACGGGCAAGCCGGAGCAGTCGGCGGGGCTGGAGCGCGCGATAGAGAACATGTGTCGGAAGACCAGGGACCTGCGGAGGCAACTGCGGAAGGCCGTCGTCGACCACGTGTCCGACAGGTACGTCCACACGTCGACTGACTATACATGCATGTTATGTTGGTAGATTAATTAACTCGTCGAGTACCGTATTTATAGACACAATTAAAGAACAATAGGTTGCGGTCACCGGTGACCGCTTGGTGTTTGACAGTTTAATTGTAGACGGATTTATTATACTTGGATTTATTACTATAATATGCAGGGCGCACGACGTGTACACACACTAGACTATGACAGGTAGACAGCGGCGTTAGTAACGTGTGTCCTACCTTATATAACACTCTTTTTTTTTAAGGGGGGAAAATCATCGATTGAGTGCCCCCGCCTGGGTGAGGCGGGAGGGAGTGTCAGACTCTTACTGACTAAAAACCACCCCGTTCCTTCTCCTGCACGTCGAGCCGGAGCCCCGGTTACCCGTTAGGTTCTCCGCGACTATATAACACACTAGCTTTACCCGCGGCTTCGCTCGCGTCACAAAATGATAAAAAGTAGCCTATGTTATGTGACATATACCAATACATACAGCGCCATCTATACCAATAATTTTGTTTTCCCTCGAGAATATCAAACTTTTTCGGGATAAAAAGCAAAAAAATACCCTATTATTTAATCCAGACTACTAACTTTACGTCTGCAAAAATTCAAAGCAATCGGTTCAGTAGTTACGGCGTGAAGTCGGAACAAACAAACAAACTCACTTTCCGATTTATAATATTAGTAAGGATTATAGTGAGGGGGTCACTACTTACTAATTAATGATGTTACAGACTAAACATACATGTAACAATGCCCACTGTTGACCAAAGCCCTCTTCTCACACGGAGAAGGTTTGAGCATTAACCACCACGCTTGCTCAATGCGGGTTGGCGATTACAAACTTATAATTAGTAATTATAAGCCCAGGTTTCCTCGCGATGTTTTCCTTCACCGTTTGTCAGTGGTGTCTAGATAATATTAGAAAGTATATGTAACTGTGAAAAAGTAACATTGGTACTTAAATGAGAAGCAAGCGTCTTAAACCTTCAGGGTAAGCCTGCCGGGCAAGGGGTCTCGGGTTCGATTCCCGGGTCGGGCAAAGTATTACTGGGTTTTTCAAAAAAAAAAAATCTCAGTAGTAGCACGGAGTGTGGAATTGTGCCCGGTATATGGCAATAGGCTCACCCCCTATTACATGGGACTCATAACATACATAGTGAAAAGTGGGTGTTACATTGTACAGAGCCATGACGTGCACCTCTGCCTATCCCTTCGGGGATAAAAGGCGGATTCGGAGTCGCGGAGAACCTAACGGGTAACCGGGGCTCCGGCTCGACGTGCAGGAGAAGGAACGGGGTGGTTTTTAGTCAGTAAGAGTCTGACACTCCCTCCCGCCTCACCCGGGCGGGAGCAGGCATTCGATGATTTTCCCCCCTTAAAAAAAGGGGATAAAAGGCGTGATGTTATGTTATGATATAAAGTTCGAGATGTTTCTTTACAAATATTGCTATTAACAAATAAATTTAATTAATACATGCTATGTGTCCTCAGTTTCCTGGAGACCAACGTGCCGCTGTTGGTACTGATGGAGGCAGCCCGCAATGGCAACGAGAAGGAGGTCGAGGAGTACGCCGTCGTCTTCACTGAACATGCCAACAAACTCGTCGAGGTTAGTATTATACAGTGATAGCTAAATAGCGCCGTTTTAACCGATCTATTTCTTATTGCTATAAGAAAAAGATCACCTGAAACCGATACCAGCAAACGCACTTGTAACGCCTCTATAAATAAAATATATATAAATTTGGTCCCGATTTTTTTTTATGGGATAAGCCGGTAAACGAGCAGACGGATCACCTGATGGTAAACAATCGGAGTCGCCCATGGACACCTGGAACACCAGAGGCGTTACCGGCGTTTTGGGGATTGGAAATTAGACGATTGTGTGTGAAAACGCTGTGATTGCTTCACTATACTTTTCTGCTCGTTGGTGGTATCACTCCGGTCGAGTCGGCCTATTCGTGCCGAAGCATAGCTCTTACTCAAGTAGTAATTTGACGAGGAACTCGACTAGTTTCAAGCCATGATAGAGGCTCATATTGAGCAACATTCCGCGACCCGCGACGCGGCGACTGTCGCGCTGCTACTGGCTACTCGAGTCTGCGAGCACAGCGCCCTCTGCCGGGATTCACGCGCACTTTCTTGAAACTAGTCGAGTTCCTTGTCAAATTATTACGTGAGTAAGCCGAAAACATGATAATTTATTTATTTTTTTGTTCTGTATAGGTAGCCAACTTAGTGTGCTCGATGTCTAACAACGAGGATGGCGTGAAGATGGTCCGTCACGCTGCGGAGCATATCGAGGCGTTGTGTCCACAAGTAAGTACCGTAGCTTATTAGAACAATATCTAAATACTATCCTAGTATTTTAATTTATTTTTGACTGCCTCGTTGGCCGAGTGGTGGCAAGTGCGACTGCCGGGCATGGGGTCTCGGTGTAAGGATTGGTATTAGTAAAACACTCTGACTGCTGATTGAATACTGGCTCTTTATTAATAAAGGTTGATATTTAAATACACGAGTAAGATACATTGATATATGCAAACTTAGAACTATAGGATATACACTACACACTACACCTTCCCCGGAGGGATAAAATAAAATATTATGTTAGTATTATTTTATTTTTATGAATAAACATGATTAACATTCAATATTTTTTTTATATATATAATATTACCGTTAATTTATGTCAATTAATTATATAAAGGATAAAGTACATGCCTAACTAAGAGTATGAGGTTATTATGAATTTAATTACAAGATAATATAACAAGATAGGTAAGTAAGTATAACTAACAAAATAAAATGCTGTGATACACAAAAAATTATAAGGTATAAAATATTATGAATAATATAACTTAGTCCTATTCTTATGAACTAAATCTGTTTTTCCATTATCTTTCAATATTTCGACATTTGGTGAAACATCTTTGATTACCAAATATGGTCCATTATAAATACTTTGGAGTTTGTTTCCTGTCTCGTTTTTCACAAGTACCAAATCATTCGGTTTATAAGTAACAGGATTACACTTTAGATCATGCTTTTGTTTTCTTATGGATTTACTTTCACATAAATTATTATACGCTTCTTTCTGAGATGTTTGCAATCTGTATTTCAATTCCAATGGATAATTATCATGGTTATACAGTGGATCTACTGATCTTTGAGTAAAATTGGATGGTATATTGCATTTTTTTCCGAATACCAATTCAAATGGCGTAAATTTTAGCGGTGTGACTGAGGTATTATAGGCAAAGCACCAAAAGGGCAACCATGAACTCCATGTATTTGGATGGTTGTCCGTTTGGATTCTTAGATAATTACCTAAACTCTTATGAGTGTTTTCCAGAGAACCTATTGTTTCGTGATGGTATGCGGTAGAGTTTAAAGTTGTTATGTTGAGTAGTTTACACGTTTCTTTGAAAACAGATGACAAAAATTCAGTGCCTCTATCAGTAGCTACTCTAGCGGGGATACCAAACCTGAGTATAAAATGGTTAACAAAATTTTTCGCTATCTCCTCAGCATTTTTTGTTGTCATAGGATAAGCTTCTATGTATTTACTCAGCTCACATTGAATAGTTAAAATATAAAGAAAATCATAATCATCTCGATCTAAGGGTCCTACTACGTCCAAGTAGACTTTCTCCATTGCCGAATTAGCTGTTGTTGTAACAACTAACGGCTCTTTAACGTAATGAGAAGTATGTTTTTGTCTTTGACACTTGTCACATTTTTTTATGAATTCTTTAACATCTCTTTCAAGTCCTGGCCAAAAGTAATACTTTTTGATGTTATTATACATTCGTCTTATACCAGCATGGCCACTTGTTGGTAGAAGATGAAAATCATTTAATATTACTTTTTGGTCATCCTTATTTTCAATTAATTTTATGTCATTTAATATACACAATCGCGGACCGGTCCAGTTTTTAAACGACTTTATTTGTGTAGCCACTTTTTTAATAAATTCATCATAGATTTTATTTCTTATAAAAATTAATTCGTGCACGTTAATTTTTTCACAAATATATTTCAGTTCCCTCACAAATGCGGCTGGCGTCAATTGTGATCTGGCAACTGGATTTATAAATAACGTCATTTTTGATGACGAATAACAAAACACTCTGCTCTCCATTTCTATCTCATTTGACCTACGTAGGTTATTTAACTCATTATAATCTATAAACTTTAGTTCTACAGACATCCTCGATTTACTATGAATCTCCACGACTCTTGGTTGCGCAGGCCAATCGTCAGTAGTATCCATAGCACTTGAAGAATGTTGCGACTCTTGCACTTTTCTATATTGCGAACGCGTCATAACCGTGATTATACTTTCATGCATATTTTTTAAGTCAGTTGATGTGATAGGTAATCGTGACATTGAATCTGCTGGAATATTCGTCGATCCTTTTATATATTCTACGATAAAATCGTACTCTTCAAGTAGAAGTCTGAACTTTAAGAGACGACTAGATGGGTCACGCATGCCAAATAAATAAATAAGTGGTTTATGATCGGTTTCAATAACAAATGTACGACCATACAAATAAGGACGGAAATGTTTTACTGCCCACACTATTGCTAACAGTTCTTTTTCTCCGACGGGATAATTAATCTCGGCCTTATTTAAATTTCTACTTGCGAATGCTATAGGTTTTCTGTTGTCATTGCATAAAACTGCACCCAATGAATATTTAGAAGCGTCGGTTTGTAATATGAACTTATGATTACTAGAAAAGTTAGGATATTGAAGTATGGGTGGGCTAGAAATGATAGACTTTAAAGTAGAAAAAGCAGTTTGACAGTCTTGATCCCATATGAATAACGCATTTTTCTTAGTTAGCTTTGTTAAGGGATAAGCTATATTGGCAAAGTTTTTGATAAACTTCCTGTAATAGTTGGCGAATGCGATAAACCTAATTAATTCTTCCACATTTTTCGGTGTTGACCAGTTATTTAAAGCACTTATTTTTTTAGGATCAGGCAAAACACCTTCACTCGTAATGACATGTCCTAAATACAATATATCCTTTTTAAGAAAATTACTTTTGCGGGGATTTAACTTTAAATTTACATGACGCAATCTAGAAAAAACATCTATGAGGTTTTTGTTATGGTTTTCTAATGAATTTCCAAAAATAATAAGATCGTCTAAATATACTAGACACTTCTCATATGTTAATCCTGACATTGCGACAGTCATCATTTTTGAAAATGCATTAGGGCTCGTTTTTAAACCCATTGGCATTCTTGTCATCTGGTATTGTCCAGATAACGAAGCAGTACTTTTTTCTTCATTCTCAGAAACTTTAAACTGTCCAGTACAAAATGCTGTGTATTTTCGACTGTCGGGGTCAAGGTCACATTGGTAATATCCATTAGAAAGGTCAAGAGTAGTAAAGTATACAGAACCAGAAAGTGAATCTAAAATTTCAGTAATATTTGGGAGAGGGAATTTGTCCTCTAGTATGTAGTTATTTAATTTCCTGTAATCTATTACTAAACGCCAATTCTTATTACCTGTATTATCTATCTTTTTAGGGACCAATAAAATTGGACTCGACCATTCTGATTGACATGGTTCAATTATACCTTCTCGTAACATGTTACTAATCTGCTTGTTTACTTCTTGTTTTTGCGAGTAAGGTATTCTATATGGTTTACTAAAAACTGGTTGAGCATTAGGTAGTAAACTGATTTTATGTTTGTAAATATTTGTTGTTGTTAACTTATCACCGGGTAATAAAAATATGTCGGAAAATTTCGCACAAATATTTTCTATAGTGATTTGCTCTTCCTCATTCAAATGTTTTAAATCTAATAAGCTAAACAATTTTCGCACTCTATCTGCGTTAATATTTCTACACTGCTCAAAAGTACATAAATTATAGTCACTAATTTTATGTAATTTTGGTTCAAATGTGTCAATGTGAACCTCTGTTTCGTTTGTATTTAGTATCAAAATAGGTATCACACCATTCACGGGTTTAACTAATACGCTGGCAATAAATATTCCTGTTCGTAATTCAGACGAACAAACAAGACACTCTTCAGTAATTTCGGTAGGTATGTAATGTATTGACTCGGACCTTGGTGACAAAGTTAAGTTATAAGAACCTCTTGTGTTATTTAGTTTTAAAGGCAAGATTACATTTGCATCATTATTATTTAATGTTAAACTTCTACAGCCCATAATCTAATACAGCATTGAATTTCATTAGAAAATCTTGTCCTAAAATAGCATGTGCCAAACACGGCAAAGAATTAAAAACATAGAACTTCTGATTAAATGTCTGTCCTCCTAAATCATAACAATTGCTCATGGTTAAATAAACATATCCGATTGCTTCTACGGTGCCTCCGATTCCGCTTATCTTAATGCTCTCTTTATGGATAGGTATGTTTAATTCAATAACATGTTTATATTTAATAGCACTAATAGTAGCACCCGTGTCAATTAAAAATAAATATTTTGATGTATCTACGAACAATTCTACGTAACAATTACTGTTACTTGCAAATACAAACCCATTATTCACGAAAAAACTTGCTCTGCTCCTCGGTTGAATTAGTTGTTAAGAGTTCATCGTTTTTTAAAACATGAATGTTGGCATCAGTACGTTGACTGTTCTTTTGACGATCTCTGGTGTTATTATATCTATAATTAGAATTATAGTACGTACCTCGATACTGTTGTGGCTGACCTCGGGTATAGTTTTGGGACGAACGTCCACGGCCACGGTAGAAACTCGCACCACGATTGCCAGTGAACCTGCTAAAGTTGTTATTCGCGAAGTTGCGACGAAATTGGTGAATGGCTCCACGATTATGCTGGCCTTGAAAATAATTATTACGTTTCCTAAAAGTTAAAACGTTTTCAGAATGAGACGGAAATGCAGTGGTCTCTTCGTCTATAGCGGCTTGCACCGCGTCCTTTAAGGTTTCAAACTTTTGTGCAGCTATTATCGTACTGAGCCGTCTATTACGTAATCCGTCGGCAAAACGTTTAATAGCTTGTTTTTCATTTAAAGGTTGTAAAATTCTAAGGTTTTCAGTTTTGCCCTCGGCTTGCGCTATAGACAAGTCCATAAATAGCTCAGTCAATTCCTTACCGTAATCATTAATCGACCTTTGATCTTGTCGCGAAGTTTGAAGTTTATTTTGCAAGGCAACTGCACTCTTTTTAGGTAAAAGAATCATACGCATATCAGTCAGTAACGCATCAATAGATGGATAATCAGACTTAAGGCTTAATTTTGCTTGGTGAGAGAGACGACTTTTTAAGACAAAGTTAATTAAACTTAATT